GAAAAAAACCCCAAACTTTCTCCCAATGCTCACTCGAAACACCTCTGACATTCTTCATGACTACAGTGCCATGAGGCTGTTCTCCTCAATGCTAACAGTCAGCTTTATTAGGATGGAATAGCCACAAGAATACTTGCCCCCTTTATAGATCCACAGGAATGGTTAAAAAAACAGAAAATAAAGAGCAGGCTATAAGAACACTATTGTGCATCTTTAATACATCATTCACTGAAAAAAATTTATTGTGCAGAGTACACTTTTATCAATTACTCCAAGCAGCACCGGGGAAGGTTATTATAGATCTTCCTAATTTTCAGCAAGACCAATAGTCTGCGGTTACAGAGAAACTTTGACACATGGGGTGCCTTGGCAAGCAGACTCGGTTATCAAAACAGAGCTTCAAAAGTAGCCAGTTTCTATCATCTATACAGCAACCTGGAAAAAAAGTATCAATATGAGTCTTAACAGAACAAAAAAAACTGAGAAGTTTGCTCTGAAATGTAAGGAAACTAAGTACTGTTATCTCCCTAAAACTGAGCATTCAAAATTGCAACCAACTTTGCTGTTCTTAAAAACTGGCATGTTTGTGTATGTTCTTTTAGCAAACACATAGAAGCCCAGCAAAGAGCCTTCATGTCAAACCACCTCACTGTCATTAAGAGGTCTGCAAGTATTTACAGTGTGGTAAAATGCAAGTCAAGTGTTGTTTTAGATTCAAACAACACTACCACAAAGATTTCTGAAGTCCCTACGAGCTGACCTTGCCAGGTTTTTGCAGTACGTACAGGAAGCCAAAACAATCAGAGGATTAATCTTAAAAACACTTGTAGGGTTGAAATAATGGGCTAGTATTAAAGTGCTAGAAGGTAAAAAGACATGGGATAAAAAAGCAGGGAAGCTTCTTGCCTATTCAGTCTGTCTAGTAGCAGGGAAGTCCTAGAGCTCACCTGATGGCATAAGGGGGGGACAGTAAAAGCCTAGATCAGGCTTATGTCAATCAGTTTTATGGCTATTGGATTTCACTGATCACAAAACTCTTCTTACAGAGTCTCACAACCCAAAACAATACAGGAATCGCTGAGAAAGTGTATCGAAGCAAAATTTCTTTTGGTTTGCATCATATTCTTCCTTAATTGTTAATTACTGGAAAACTGTTGCCAAGCAAATCCTTGTCCAAGATTTGTGGGGACAAAGCGAAGCCCCATTAAAAACAAACTCCACTGGACAACCAGCCTGTCACACTGCCTCTCAATGGCAATTAATTTACTAATAAATCTGGCTTTTATTCAGTATTTTGTTTCCCTGCTTCTCTCAAAATGACTGAAAAACCTAATATTCAAGGAGAGAAACAAATGCTAATTGCATATTTTCCTTTGGCTTTAGATATTTACTTAAGGCTCTGAAGTTCAGTAATTCAAACCAGAACTGAGCTAATTCATCATTTTTCCTGACTAAGCAACATCAAAGGCTTATCTGAAAAATCAAGTTAACAGTATGTTTAGTACAACCTGAGACCCATTCCATTTGGCCCCGAACGGGACAGATTTTTTTTCTTATTACTTTTTTTTTTTTTAAATCATTTTTAAGATAATTAGAACTTAGCTCTTTCGTTTTCAGGCTGCTTTGTATTCTCCGGTTTGGCTGGGAAACAGTGTGCCCAAATTACCAGACTAAACCAGAAAGACACAGAGAAGACTTGACCATGACTCACAGCAGTTTCTGAGGAATTAGAGCAATTATACTCTTTGGTTTAATTTTTTTTAAGTTACTAATTAACAGAAAACTGATGACTGCTGTTCTCAAGATGAACAAAAAAGTCTGCTCTACTCAGTCATCTGGTGACACTGAGCTTCGTTTGAACTAGTAACAGACTCCGCTTAAAGGCTGTAAAATCTTAAAGCCTCAGAGCAGAACATGCAAGGATGAGAAAAGGCGATACACTCAGTTATTCACAAGCAGACATCTTCTCCCATAATGTTAATATGAACTTTCCTAAGAAAGCTTTCCAGCAGGCGTAAAGATTCCTAGCGACACTGGTAATATACTAACTCCCAGCTCTGCTCTGCAGGGATACACAGAGATTGTTCTACTCTGGGGCAATGCTTGAACGGTAATAAAAACACAAACTGCAGCAACCAGGGGAGCAAACACAGCAGTGAAGTGAGAGAGTTTCAAGATGTCTGTCTACTCATGAATTATCTGATAAAAAAGTAAAAATCCTTCCATTGTTTACAGTCACACCTAGTGCAGGGAGAGGCCAATGTGCTGAAACCACACAGGATTATATTTCTAGTTCCACCAACTAGTGCCAGATTTTTCAGAAAACCTTGTTGCCTATAGTTTCAAACAAAAAACAAATGCTTATTACTTCTGGAAAAAAAAATAATAGCTGAGGACTGATCCTTTTAGCTAACATAAATAAATAGTTATTATTGAATTGTCTTGTCATTCATGATGTTTGATAATTTTTATTAAGTAGCATTTTATATGAATAGCAGCAAATAATAGCACATCCGCTCATTATTTTCACCAACTGTGATATTATCAACTGTGGAACAGGTTTGTGCTGACCTTGTCTTAAGCTCCTTAGTGCACAAGTCATAATCAGACTTGATTACTTCCTCCTTGAGCCCCACCAGCTAACAATGGGTATCTGCCTTCTGACAATTGTGTTCTAGGCTGGTCTCACCAGGACTGAAATAAGGAGAAATGTCGTCAAGTCTGACAGAACCTAAAGCATAACTGGCTTTAGTTTGGACTGTACTGCAAAAAAAGCAGCTGCTGACGCTGGACACCAGGCATCCGATGGATTTTGGATTTTCTATTTGGATTTCTGTTTGGATCTGACTTTGCCATAGAAGTCCATTCCAGTAAGCCATCTGTCACATACTAATTCTTCTGCTGGATAAGCACTTCAGTTATAGGACATGCAGGATTAAAGTTTTTACTATTTAGTAACAAAGGACAGGCATTACAAACATACATATATATAAATATTATATAACGGACAGAAAGAAATATCAATAGTTAAAATGGTACTGTTCATGAGAGCGCCTCTTCCTCTGCAGAAAATGTAATGAACTATTTTAGAACCGCACATTCACAGTTGCGGTCTGAACTCCACCCTGTTCTGTTCCAGCACACATCACAGGGAATGACACTAAGGTATCCACAGACACAAAACATGCTTACACCAAGGTGGCCAAACAAAACATAACAGAATTTTTGACATTGTATCATTAGGCAGGCTAAAAGTTAGCTATCAGCACTATGTTAGATCACAAATAGGTACACTTCTGTGTCTATTTAAAAAATAAAATATTCATTAAAACTTACACACAAAGGTCTCCACGTGTGTGCACAAGTCACCGCACTTTGGGCACCGCAGCTGGTTCCCTCCTTTCCCAGAGCTTCCAGAGCTTGACTTTTTACCACCTCCCTCACCGACAGACTTCTAAAAAAGATTTCCAGACAATTAGCCCCAAACAATGGAGCTGTTACATGAGGCATTTAGCGGCGTGTTTATGGAATCCAGTTATGCGAGTATTGCAATAGCTGAATGACTAAGTAACTATTGTCAGGATTTTTTAAAGGCTTTGAAAATTTAAACCAACACAACATAAAGATTTTGAAGTGTACACACATCTGCGTTTCCCAGGTCTGACAACTTTGGATGCCCATGGAAGAGGCATCCCACATCTACATTGGAACTGTTTGACTGGCACTAGAACAACAACACGCTAAACTGTGTCAAGAATGTTTTAACAGTATATTTCAGTGTAATTTGTCCTAACCCCAGAGAAGAAAACAAATCATACATATACAGAGAGTAATTTCATTATCGCAACTGCATTGATTCTAAGGGTTTCTGACGCCACAACTCTGCTCACGTCCTTGACAGCTGCAGCTATGCTGGCAGATGGCTGTAGGGTAGATATGGCCTATAAAACAAGCATCTCAGAAACTGCTTGGAAATATTTTATTTTTACTTCTAAGGCAGAGTTTCCTGACAGACATCTACTTGTCTTCATTTTACCCTGCTTAGTGCTGCTCAAGGTTAACATTTTTCAAATCTATATCTGTTCTATGCCTTGGTACTTTGATTAGTAATAAAAACTAGTATATTTTAGGAAACAGCAAAGATCTCTCTTCCCTTTTCTAAGGCAGTTCTCAATTTTTTTAAACCTTGCTTGCCTACTCACTTCTCCTCACAACCCTGCTCAAGACAAGACCAATTTTTTTTCTTCCTTATTTTTTAAAAAAGTTTAATCTGAACCATCAGAACACACCTGTGGACAGTTCCTCAAATGTCACAGCACACCATACTAGGGCAAAGTTATTGCCTGTGAACTCTCAAAATCCTATTTGCTGACTAAAGAGCAGATTTATTCTCAGGTAATCATTTATCTGAAGAAGCTGTTTATTAACTATAATTACAGAGAAAGACTAGGATGAAAATAGATTACAATTTACTCACAAGAATAAAGCCAGTCTCCTCACAAGCTTGTCTTGCTTAATACAACTACCAAACCAGTGCTGGAAACAAAAACATTTTAAAATGTATTTACTTTTAAAAGCCTACTTGGGAGTAGCAGGCTTCTGAAGGAGAGCAGTTCTGATTACTACTCTTTCCTGAAATCCTGAAACCTGTTGTGAATTTCTAACACTCTACAAGTTTCCAAGGGTCCCATTACGCTAGGCAAAAAGATTTCTAAAACTGAGAAAAGCATTATGGGTTGTTTACAAGGTTTGCCTGCTAACAGATTCACAGCGCAACTTCTGTTTTGTTCACTGTCAGTTGCAGCAATTTGAAGGATCAGAAATGTCAATGTAGCGAAAATTTCAAAAATATTCTAATTTTAAGGAAGGAAAAAAACTACTAAAAGCTTTTAAGAAACATTTCATATAAACTACTGAAAAACCTAATGTGGAGGTTACCTTGCTTCCATCTCCAGAACCATCCTTGCTTGCACCGTCCTTTGAAGCAAAATACGCTGGTGTTTCTGAAAAGTTTCTAAGAGGAATTCGTCTTAGGGAACAAGTTTCAAAAGTCCCAAGTTTTCCTAAAACAGGGATGCGTGTACGACCACAAGTAATACCTAAAAAAAATTAAAACATTAAAATTAAACATTAAAAATACTCTAGTTCTAATCTCAATGCCACCAAACCCCAGAATTTATTTACATTAAATGGTAGATCAAAAGTTTCAGCAACAGAATTCAACTCTGCACATACAAATTTCAGTTATCCAAAATAAATTCACCGCCTTAATGTTCATCTCATTAAAAGCTGCCTGGATTGTCCAAAAATGAGCCAAAAGTAAGTCCAGGTCCTCTAACATCAGACAACTGAGTGTCCCATTGTGTCATGAAATAGGGAACATCCCAGTTATGAAACTGATCCTCAGAGTAAGAAATACAATCAACAGCCAGCACCTATTGCGAAATAACTCAACCCCTGAAGTAAGAGAGACCTTTGAAGCGTCTCCTTATTACGCAAAAATCACCCAAGAAGTGTCTTCAGACTCACGGACTGCACGTCTGGGTTTGGCTTTCACTTGTGAACTCTGCTAGTTCCCAGGAATTGAAGGTACTGCTTGACAAAAAACGACGTTCTGAGGAAAACTGAAAGGCAGCGTCATATCTGGCACGTACTGACAGACAGGCACAAGTAAATTCAGCGTAATCTTAACTTTGTTGAAATAGCTTATTGCCAACACAAAAAAAAAAAAACCTCATTGAGAAACTAACCAGCCTCTTCCTCCTCTTGCAACAGCCGGCAGGATTCCATTTCATGACTAGGTATGATGTGGATCAACACATGTCAGGCTTGCGATTTCAACATCTTTCAACATAGACAAGAGCCTGGAATCCATACCTCATCTCTCTCTCATTTAAAGTGGCAAATTTCTCACTTGCGCTCTGGTTTTGATCAGTACTCTGTGGCTTACTGACAGAAGAGCTACATAGCAACAACGACAATTAAAAACTTGCTGATAATAGATGGCTTTACTGTTAGAGAGATGAGAGAACTGTATAGAAAACTCCAAAAACTTCTAAAAAAAGTAAAAAAAAAACCCCAAAAAACCAAACAAACACCAAACAGTAAGAATAGCAAGAGGATTGCCTTTCATTTGCTCTGAAAGAGGTAACAATGATAACTAAGACCTGGAATCTTAGTTGAAAGAGCACATTTGACAAAATTTACCTTGCTACTACAGCGGGAAAACAGAAAAAATAAAGAAAAGCATTATGGGCAAGCCTAAATTTATGAGGAAAACTCTCACAGGCTTCTGCGAAGTCACAACCAAGAACACAGCACCAAATGAGATTTGAAGTTGTTTTATTAAGATACATGCTGCTTAAGCTTCTTGAATTTAAACACAATTTGCAGTTATTTTTAACATGACTAAAAATGTAATCTTTAAAAAAAATATCTAACAGCAGATTACTTCCACCTGGAAAAGCGAGGGAGGAATAACCGATCACCGTGCTCTCCAATTTCAAACTCCTCTGCTGAGTGCAACCATAACGCAGCAAGACACTTTCGATTACATAGGATAAACAATGAAACATCCCAGCAAACAAAAATATTGGCTCACTTTTACAAGCAGTTGTGTTTTTTCAAATGAATCTGCAGAGAATTCTGATGACTACATGTGCCAAGTGCACTTGTCAATAGGGAATAAGCTGTGGTGAGTGTTTAAAATGCAACACTTGTTCTGCATTAATTCCTTCTCTTGGAGGCTTATTCCTCATAAATGACTCATTTACTGAGATTTGTTTTACAACTTCTAAAGGAACTGAGACAGGACCCCTTAAAAAGAAAAAAAAGAAAAACCCAAACACCACACAACTCTCCTGAGATACAGGAGATCTGGCCCGCGGAGAAAGGATGAAGCACAAATATAGAAACTCAAACATTTTATCATGAACACTGCACGTGGACTAAAGATCATCGATTTTAATTCCGAGCACCCCTGTGACACAGCAAATGCACTGAAAACCGTATTGGATGAACTATGAAACCATACACAGTGTCAGCTACTGAGCCGGAAAGTGCCACGTTACGGACTGTGCCCATCGATTGATCAGAAACACCGCAGCTGTGGGGCTTCACCTCCCGCGTCTGTCTGACAGGATGCTGGCAGCAGATCCAGGCTGGCCAGCAGCATTCCACCCACACTCTTAACACTTTTGGTGCTGTTAAATTAACTCATAAAAGTCTTCACTGGACAGCCTTTGGGGAACAACACTAAACTCAGCCTTGCCACACATGCTGAACTCTAACGGGTGTAGGTAGGCTAAACCAGGAACAAAAAATCATATTCCTGCTACATCAGCTTGCTGCTAAACACGAAAAGCCTTGTCCCTGTGCTTGTCATGAGGTCCAAGTGATTTTTTTTTTTTTTGACAGAACATCATCGTACAGTTAAAGAATAAAGCAGTAAGAAAGTTACTGCAACTACTTGCTTGCATAAATAAGCCCAGAGGCAGATTTTTGGGAGAAATCAACGTTCCAACCCAATGCCTGGCAACTTCTTCTGAATGATCCAGATCCTGATCGATGTGCAAGTATGCAACACCTGGCCAGCACTGCAGTATTCCTCACACACATCGCTGGCAGTCAGGCCTTGGGTGGTTTTTGGAAACAGTACATTTAAAGGACGTGCACCTAACATAAAAATGTTGGTAGCAGCAATGGCATCCACCCAGGGTGATCAGATTAATGTGTTAAGAAATAACAGGAGGCTCCTTTACATCTTATTAACCTTTAATTGATATTTGAGGAAAGAAATACTGACTTTTGAGCTAAGCTTTAAATATGTTGCAATATTCTATTGCCCAAGGAAGTAACAGGGAGACTGTGACCAAGAGAAGTCTCTTCTCTGTCCCACACAACACTTGATCGACTGGACTGATCCACACACTCCAAATACTCTGAAGTTTGCACCAACCAGCAATAGCAAAGTACCTGGCAGAAGACATAATCCGTAACAACAACAAAAATATACCAAGATTTATTTTTTTTAAAGAACTTCAATGGAAAGCTGATGCATAAATAAACTTATCATTCTATATCTGTGTTTTAGTCTTATTTGTTCTTTTACATATATGTTTTACATCTTAGTTATGAGAAAAAAACCCTCAAATTTTAAAAAAGATAATTCTGAAATTAATTCAGAATGTCACTTGCTTTAGAGTTTATTGTTTTGGTGGGTTTATATGAGGCCAGACAGGCTAGAGTTGAAAGTACTGGTTTAAACCTTTCAGCACAGGTGACGTCAGATGGAAACGTTAAGTCAACTGCAATGAGTTAACTCACCTCTCGAAGGCCATAAATCACCTCTGACTTGTCAGGCTATTGCTGAGGGTACAGTCATTCAAAACCTTGTTGTAAGTGTGGCAGCACCAGAGATTTTCAGCACAATTTAGGGGTGGTCTGCCTTTCACCAAAAGCAGCACAGGTTGTGTCAACTCTCACTACCCACACCACCATGAAAGGAATAAAAGTAGTAAAAAAACTAACAGTCTCCCTTGGCTTCAACCTCTATCAAGTGGTTTGCACAGCCTCACTCCTCTACTACGTTGGAAATAATTACTTTGCAAACTGAGCCCAAGTCTCTATGAGAAATATTTCAAGTTCAGGCTGCACAAAACCCGCAGGCTTTTAATCAGTCAGCTAATTAAGCTCATTTGCTAGCACTGCAGGGTAACACAGACTGGACAACTGCTGAAAATCACTCCCGTTGAACCAAACTCTATTCTCCCACGACATATCCCCAAAGATATTCCCACGTAGGCTGATTTTCCAGAACTTTGCACCATATAGCACTGCGCTGAATCCTGACACACCACCAGCAGCCACCTCACACCACCCAGGGTGACACTAACAAAACAGTAACAACAAAAAAAAAAAAAAAAAAAAAAACTTAAACAAAAAAAGCCCAAAGCAGCCACCCGTTGCCTGAGCGAAGCCCTTATCGCAGCGCTGCAGCACAAACTCCCCAGAGCGGCTGTGGCGGGGCCCGGGGA